TGCTTTCGTTTGTCGCCCCAGAGACCAGTGGTAGCAGCATCAAGGTCCTTGAGGACAACCAGGGGGCCATAGCGTTGGTGCAGAACCCCCTCAGCTCAGGTCGCACGAAACACATCGACGTGAGGTATCATTTCATCCGAGGATTGTTTAGGTCGGGGGATATTTCGGTCAAGTTTGTTCCGACAACGGAGCAACACGCGGACCTCCTTACCAAGGCCCTTAGCAGGGTCAGTCTGCAGTACCACCGGCGCAAGCTGATGAATTTGCCGGTGTAGATGTAGCAGTTTTTAGCACTTGCCTTGGATTTTTTGGTAAGTGCGGCCGTTGTAAGCCGCTGTGATAGCGACGGTTTTTTGTGGTGGACGGGTTTCCCCTCCATATGTTACCATGTTGGTATTTTCTGATGTATCCTGGGGCGTTCTTGCCCAATTGATGGTTAGTCACTTGCGTGAAGAACCAGGGAGGGTGTTCGTGAGTCTGCAAACATTGCTGTTGGATACATCGAAGTACTATAGACATATCCCGGAATTGGCCACGTCAGAACCCTCTCGTCGATGAAGACGCACCCAGGTCACGGTAACCACTGAAGAATGCGGGCAACAAAGGAGAAAGACAGCACACATCGCCCACGAAGAGAACACCCAGTGAAAACCGGCTCAAAGGGGAAGACCATCGTCCTCTTTCCGGTCAGGGACAACGGTGTTGCCGACCGAACGATAAAATTGGACACGGTGCTTCCCCTGCCATTTTCAGGTTGAGCTTCCCTAATGCAGCGTTCCCCCCACGTTGGTAGGGGTGAGGTTCCCTAATAAAGAGGTTCCTCTTGCACTATTCCGGGAAAAGGTCCCGTTATACAGAGGTTCCCAAAAGCATTGCAACGGGGTGCCTGCTGTCTTGTCTTTTCATTTCTTTTCTTTTCTTTTCGCGCCCTAAGTCCAAGCACAAAGCAAACAAAACGGAAAACGATCACACAGAAGAAATCTACAGCCAAAGCGCCTGCATGAACAAAGCAAGAAACCAACTCAGGCAATACCGCTCAAAATAGATGACGATAGGAAGAAATCGGGGATCAGCTGACGGTAAAGAGTCAACTAGAGGCAGAGTCCGGACACTGGTGTCGCCCAAAGGGCGAGAACGATATTTCTCCGAACTCCACGATCCACACACAGCGTCCAATGCGGTGGTAAAGATTCGCAGGCAAAGGAAGAGAGCTGGGCCCCAGATCATCCAGGAACCGAACGATGTACGAACCATCCTGATGAGCACCAACGCGCCCCGTCCACCACGCGAGCCTTATGCCACAACCGTGCGCCGACAGGAAGGGGCGAGGCACTGAAACGACGAAGCCAAGTCTCGCGAGGCACGAGAGAGAGCAGATCCTGAAGGAAGATAGCGTTCCCCATGAGCCCTGGCGAGCTCCAGCTGTGACACCCGATATCGAGCCACTCGATAAGTACGATTGCCTTGCTTACTGTGGCAAACCTCCCGGGATCAGTACAAGAGGATGTGTCGACGAAACCGCTCGAGGTCAGATTCATGTTCCCATGAGGGAGTAGTGAGGCCTATCCAATGCGGTACAGGACCACAAGAGCTCCGCTACGACCCCGCACCAGTTGATGTCCCGAGATCTAGTTGACCTCCAGGCGTCCCACAGGCGCTGATACGTCGTCTTCGGTGACTTGGAACGGCGGGTAGTTGTCTCCGAAGGAATGCAGAACATAACGCGAAAGGTCTGCGGGCAGAGACTGTGGGAGGTCGTCCGTCTCATGCGGGTTGCTGCAAGGTCTACACCGAAGAACGAAATCGCGAGATCGAGCAGCTGAGCCGGAGTGATCCGAAGGGAGGGCGAGATACAGCAGCTTGCGTGGCAATGGGTGCCCATCCGGTGTGTCCTCCGCAGAAGTGGGTCCCACCGCGAGAATTTTGTATCGCCCTGTCTAGGATAGCGCGAATTTGGCCTTGACCACTTGTTGATCCGTGTCCTTGTGGGCACCTTGCCTAATAGTAGCGGCCGTGTTGTACACCCAAGCCCAGGAGCTTATTGATGGCGTCCAGGAGGGAGGAATTCGGCGTTCTTCGCGCGAAACTTTCAGAGCGTTGTACTCACGGACAAGATCGTACGCCCGGCGTTGCCGGTCGACGGCCAGGTTGCAGTGCCCTAGTTGATCGCCGTCCAAGCTTTGGAGAACTCCTACCGTGAGATGATGGAACACCGAAAGCGGAAGTCGCGGAATGCGTCCCATGCGTATCTCGTTCGGCGCCAGCCCAGTTGACTGATTCACCGAGTTGTTATAGGCGAACTCGACATGTAGAAGAAGCGCGTCCCGATCATTTCGCTGCTCGTTCACCACCACTGCAAGCATCTGAGCCAAGGTGTGGTTGACACGTGCCGTGCCTCCGTTGGTCTGCGAATGGTAGGAGCTTGTGGCGACTTTCTTGATATCCATCGCCTCGTAGATAGCCATGTAGAGCTTTGAGCAGAAGTGCAGTCCGTTGTCCGACAACAGTGTAGTTGGACATCCCGACTTGGTCATGTATTGGTTCACGAAAATGTTAGCAGTCCCTTTCGCCGAAGATTCAGCAGCCGTGGTAGCAAACATGACCGCTCCTCGGCTAAATTGGTCGGTGAATGACGGCATGTAGGAATTTCCCTTGGCAGCCACCAGCCGAGGCCCAAAAAAGTTGACTTCGACCATATTGCCTGGCCCTTACGGTCATGGCATAGCAATAAGAGACCACCTGGTAGTCTGGCGTGAAGACTTGCGAAGTTGACACACCAAACTAGCCCGAAGCCACCTACGCACGGAGCGATCCACACCAATCCGCCAGTAGAAACGCTCCAGTAGACGCTGCGTATGATGTACTGCAAAATGGAAGGACGCGGTCGTATGATAAGCACGAGGGACCCACGGGCGCATCAGCATTGGCATGTAGACACGAGGGACTCCGGTAGAGGAATTTCTTTGCTGATTCGGACTGCCAACGGCACGCTTTTCCAATCGCATCATGGTTGGCCGTATGAAACCTTTCTCTCGCTCTTTCCGTGTCTTCTGTTCCGCTCTATTTCTTGTTGTGTTTTTCTGCCGCCTCCTTCCTGTTTGTTTCCATGCTTGCGCGCTGTTCTTGTTTGCCGAAACTCTTGGTGATCTGTCTTTCCCAATACTTCTCGGCACGCACTACGCTAGTATGCTACATGTAATTGTTCAGGAGTGCGCTGGTTCCGGTTGAAGGGCACTCATTGCCCGCCCGTGGGCTGCCCATTGGTGTCCCATGGGCGAGACTACAGGCCGATTCAGCACCGTTCTCAGCTCCGATCACTTTGCGTGCCGAAAGATCGCCGTTGTGTCTCGACTAGGAGCAAAAACCATACATAGAGACCAGCAGGGAGATCCAGGCAGCCCACCCTCACAGCAGGCTTATCAGCAAACGCGCATAGGAGTCGCATAGTACAATACTATTCACTTATGCCAAATCTCTCTAACGTGGGGCGGATATCCTTTCCAGATCCAATCTACTGCCCGCCGGAGGGTACATACAGCACCCGATTATGTTCTCAACCCGGTGCCGCATCCGCGGGGGGGAGCAGAGAAAGCGCACACCGGAGCCGATGCTAACGTACTGCCTCGGTGCTTGATGTTGTTGTGATTGCGGTGCGTGTGGTTCCCAGTATTGGGAGTGAAGGGTGGTTCGTCTGCTGTGTGAAACTTTCGCTCAAAGGCAAGGCTTGTCGGGACTACAGCTCCAATCATAGTTCTCTATTCATTTGTAGTACAGAACTAGAGTCAAATATTGCCCCCCCCCCCCCCCNTTGGGAGTGAAGGGTGGTTCGTCTGCTGTGTGAAACTTTCGCTCAAAGGCAAGGCTTGTCGGGACTACAGCTCCAATCATAGTTCTCTATTCATTTGTAGTACAGAACTAGAGTCAAATATTGCCCCCCCCGCCCTCAGTGGGCGGGGGGGGCAGAATGTGAACGAGGGCATTGCTGTCGCAAAGCGACGCGAAAGGAGAGGTAACATGAAAGGCACCTTTCGGTGATATGTATTTCCAGTTATGTTCCGGCATCCTCAAGGCTATGTGAATACGGGCAACTGGTGAGAGATGGGTTCACAGACAAAGACGAGGACGTATGATATCCCTCTGACTGAAAGGGTCTGGGAAAGAGGGGCATGTATGGGGTGAAAAATGCATGCACGGACAAAGAGGAGTTACGATATTCTTGGTAGTGATACCTCTGGTGGAAAATGTATGCACAGAGAAAGAGAAGCTTACGATACCCCGGTACTCAGACGGGTCTGTCAACACGGGCAAGTGGTGTAAGATGGGTCAACAGACCAAGACAAGGACTTATGATACGTCTGGCACTTTGAAGGGTTTGCTAAGACTGCCAAGTGGTGTAAGATGCAAGTAGAGACAAAGACAAAGGGCTTAGTTACCTCCGACACCCCCAAAGGTCTGTGAACACGGGCAACTGGTGTCAGATGGAATCACAGGCAAACACAAAGGATTGACGATATCTGTGGCAAGACCACGTGTCTGTGAACACGAGCAACTGGTGTAAGATGCAATGACTGTAGGCGGGCCACAACTCATGTTCGCACGAATGGAAGAGAAAGAGAATAACTTATTGGACAATGACAAAGGGCTCAGATACCTCCGGGACCCCCAAGGGTCTGTCGACACGGGCAATTACATGTTATACGTCTGGCTTGCAACGGTCTGCCAAAGTAGATACATGATTAGGCATGCACGACAATGGAAATGAAGAAAACGAAAAAAAGAAAAAGTAGGAGACACCGAAAAGGCAATGAAACCGCCACAAGAGGAAAAAACGCCTAGGAAAGATTCATCCAGTGGTACGTCGCGACTTAATATGGGACAGCAGTCCAAAGCATAGAAGAAGAAATCAATGTGCTGTGGCACGCCGAAGGGTTTGTCAACACGGGCTACTGGTGTTAGATGCAAGCATTGTGGGTGGGTCACAAATCATGTGTTCGCACGAATGTAGGACAGGAAGAGGAAGCACTTATTGTACAAAGACAACGGGCTTAGATACCTCAGGCACCCCCAAGGGTCTGTCAAGACGGGCAATCACATATTGTACGTCTGGCGTGCAACGGTCTGCCAACATAGATACATGATGCGGCGTGCACCACAATGGAAATGAAGAAGATGAAAAAAAGGAACAATAGGAGACACCGAAAAGGCAATGAAACCGCAACAAGAGAAAAAGCCTAGGAGAGATTCATCCAGTGGTACGTCGCGACTAAATATGGGACAGCAGTCCAAAGCTAGAAGAAGAAATCAATGTGAAAAGGCCAACGATGGGTCGAAGAAAACATAACGACAACAGTTATTAGTCGGTGTCGTCGGCAGCGTCGATGAGGTCGTCGTCATCGGAGATGACGTCGTCGTCGTCCGGGTCGTCACTGCCACAGTCGCCGTCGGGGATGGAGCTGTTGTCGGCGTCGTTGTTGTCATCGTCGCTAGAAGACGTGTCGGAGGGAGGCGCCACCGGCTTGTTGCTGCGCTTGGCGTTGGAAGATGATTTTTTTTTGGAGGCGGATGAGGATGATTTCCGTATCGAGTTGGAGCGGTCGGCCGCGGTACGGTCGTCGCTGGAGAGGTCGATGGTGGTTCGGGCGGGCGGCGGGAAGTCTGTAGGCGTTGGATGTTTGCGGGGTCGCTATCGAGGGCGACCACTTGGTAAGCCGACGTCTGGTTCTGACCCCACTTTTTATGTTCGACAGCTGCGACGTACTTGGTCCCAATGAACCAACCCGAGCGATTCTTCTGTTCGTCAGAATCGAGGTTGACGCACTCCTCGCCGTCGCAGAGGAGGGCTTCCTCTAGAACCTCTATTGTGAGCAGGGGAAGAGATCGGCAGAGAAGGCGGATGAAAATCGTTAAACGAAAAGCGTCACGATGTGTCACAGGCGGAGGACACGTTGTGTGTGGAAGCATGGTGTTGACGAGATGAGGGGGGGAAATGGAGTAACGGCGGGCATCTGGCGGGTATCGGTGGTAACCTCGAAGGGGTATGCAACATAGAGTGCAAGTAAAATATGGTAGATGATAAAGATATAGTAGCTGTCGCTAAAACGAGCGACAGCTGATAGATGTAACTGTCGTCAGACGTGTGCGTCCGCGGGAGGTGGAAGAGACCCTTTCTTCTTCTTTTTCTCTTTGCAATTCACGTCATTGGTTACCCGCGACGGCGCTGAAGACGCCCATGTCCGTGTACTTGACCCTCGTACTCTGTGCTAACTCCCCAAGTCTAACCTCTTCCTGCAGCCTAGCCTTCATCGTCGGCGAATTTCCAAGGTTACCAATCCTGTCGAAACTCATGGGCTCTACCATGAGGTCCACAAGTCTCTTCGCCCTACTGAGACAGACGAAAGTAAGCCCCGTGCAGGCCTCCTTGGGCCCCAAGTCAATGACGGCCTTGGCTAAAGTCTGCCCCTGGGACTTGTGCATCGTAATTGCCCAGCAGAGCCTAAGGGGCAGCTGCGTCCTGACCTGCGTCCCCCCGTCCTGCCAGGTGGTGTCGACGGGAGAAATAGGGACACAACGTCTATACCTCTCCTGAGACGACCATTCCCCCCCCGAGTACCCTTCAAACTTGACGACAACGTAAAGGGGGAGNCAGTCTGCTCGCTGAGCGCGTGTTGTCTGCTGTTGCTGTTTGCTGCTCTGCTGTGTAAAAAAAAAAAGTGCGCCCTGTAGTCACAAATCAAGTCCTGTACTCTAAAACCTAGTTTAAGCGAACACAACACACGCACGCACTTTTTTTCCTGCATCGGCCCCTATATTGCGCTGAGCCCTCTCAGGCAAGATTAGAAATCTCGCTTCGCTCGAATAATCAATTTCTTGAATGCGAAAAGTCGTGGCTAAGAAAATGCGAATACTATGAAATACCTGCGTGCTGATGGACATGGTTGATGGGATGGGAAGGCTATCCGGGGAGATGGGGCCGCAGTCATGGGCTGAGTTCATGGGGATGACGGTGAAGAGGGTCGGAACCATGTCGTACGTGTTGTGGACGTGGGGGTTGGTCTTGTTGGAACAAGTCATGGGGAGGGCGTCGGTTGGGTTGGCGGTGGCATTGCAGCCGTTGTGGCCATACTTCATGCGAACGATGGGTCCGGAGGAGGAAAAGTAGAGGATGAGGGATTAGTCTAGAGGCCTTCTGGCGTCTGCTGAGCGGCGAGGCGCTCGGTCCTCAGTCTGTCGAAGACTTGGTTATCAAGGTGGTCGTACGTGTAGTTGGGATCATGCAGTAGCCACTGGGTGGTGGTGTGGTCGCCTTTCCTCGTGGAATGGTATGTTCTGGGACATGGGAAGGTATGATGAGTAAGGAAAACTCGCAAAGGGTAGGAGAAAGCGAAGTAGTGGGTTGTCGTTAACATGAGAGGTGGAAATGAAAGAAAGAGTGAGGCATTTTTTTTCCAACCGTGCAGTATCGGAATTGCCGAGTTATGTGTCCCACAGCGGTACATATGTATGTGTGTTTCCGAAAAAGATCCCTTGCGCAAGAAAGAAAATTGGAAAAAAAAATGCTTTGCCTTGACCTTCATGTCCTACCGGTACATACATGTCCTATCGGTCATATTCAACTTAACGAACATACAGCTAGTAGTGTGGTTCTATTTTCGTCAGAAGTTTGGATTTTCAACGGTGTTCGCACTCTTACCTTCCTGATGATCTCCGAACATTTTCTTGAGCTCACCATCTTCTGATCGATAATTCGGGTGGCTCAGTTGTGTGTGATGGGAGTGTAGAGCGGGTGGCCCATGACGGGGCGTGGATGGGTAAAAACGTGTTGGGAAACGTGTTGTAAAACGTGTTGTGCTCGTGCTCGTCAAACCATCACGGTATCAAGTCACGCATAACGCTCAAACACCCAAAACGAATCTTGATGAATGTCCACCAATCTACCACACTCCCAAGGAAAACAAAAAGAAACTTCTTGTTCCTCCGTAGTTCGTCACTGCAAAACCCGCATATGTATACGCAATATACCACCCGCATGCTATGCTACGAGTATATCGAATATCTTCTACATTCAAAGAAGCGAAATTAGAATGACAGTTGTAGGCCCGCGAGTTTTTGCGAAACTTGACAGCCCAATATTCGACAGAGGTGTACATCTCCTCCATCAGCGGCGGGAGCGGTGGCAGTCGCGGGAGAATGCCTTTGCCGTCCTTACAGCACATGCCCTTGGATTCCTTGGCAAAAAGCTTGGCACCACAATGCTGACAAGGTTGGGCGTACTTTAGGTTGACGCCAGCATCGTCACGTGCGGCAGCTAGGGCTTCTTTCCGTTGGACAAAAGCGTTTTGAAGGTCGGACAGGCCATTAGACTATATTCATTCTTCTACACGAAACATTTCTATCTCCCACACACTCCGTTTCTCTGCTACTACTGCACCTCTAGCAGCACGTTGGTCTGCCCGCCTCTAGCTTCGGCGTTCGTTGATGCCTGTCTTGTTGATGTCGTGACTCTGGCGTCGGCGTTCGTTGATGCCTGTCTTGTTGATGTCGTGACTCTGGCGTCGGCGTTCGTTGATGCCTGTCTTGATATGGTGTCTCGGCGTCTCTCCGCGTTCTTTTCGATGTTGGCGGTCCTCCGCTTGGCGTACAAGATGCGGTCCCGCTGGTTTCTCCGCAAGCGCTGTCTCTATCGCAGGGTTCTTGTTGATGTCCATGTTGTTTGTGGGGAAGATGACTTCGCAGGTGGATTGTGGGGTGGAGGTGGGTGTGTCTCAGGTGTCTTGTGGTCATCTGTAAAAATACCTCCACGGATTGTGGGATGTGCGCGTTCAGAAAAAGGCAAGGCGTTTCGGAACTACAGCTCCGATCATAGCTCTCTAGACTATTCATTTGTAGGTACAGAATAGTAAAATTTATCATGATTTTTATGAATTTTGTATGGTAGTCTAGTTGATGATGGTCTCGATTCTCTGATGAGCGGACCGTTTTGTTCGTCTGGCGCGGTTTCGCATCAGCGTCGTCGCATCTAGCGCCGCTAGCATATGCGCTTGCCGTATGCTCTGCTCAAGGATGAGGCGAAGAAGATGCGCCAACAGGTATTGCTTGCACAGGTACATCCTCTGTGCCGACGGTTGGTTGTTGTCGGAGACAGGCATGCACACCTGCTCGAAATCGGTCGCCCCCCGGTGGTCTATATAATAGTGGGTAGCCTCGCAGCCTGCTAAGGGCCAGATCATGGGTTCGAGTCCCGGCAGGGAGAGTTTTTTTCTCAATAAATAAATCCTGGTCTAGGATTGTTGTTGTTGTTGTTGTTGTTGTTGTTTCTCACATAAGCTATAAAAAAAAAAAGATTGGGAGCCCGTGGTCTCAAAACCCGGCATACACGACCCCACGAAGAAACAGAAAAAAATAGGGTACAAAAACCACTCGGAAGAGAAACAAAATGATAGAAAGAAAGACCAGCTACCGCACCAAACGAGAAAGAGCGTCGAGGAGACCGATCAAAATAAAATAAAAGGAGAACGGGGAACGCTTCCCACACCCGCCTACAACGCCGGAGGGTTCCGTGCCGGGTTCCCGCCGACCAGGCATCCCCCGCCCTGCACCACACCCCAGGGGGTGCAGCAAGACGGGGGGCGAAAAAACAAACACATATATATTCCCACAAAAAAATAAAAAATCGAAGGACAACGTACACCAGTACCAGGTACTACAGCATGAAAGCGACGCGCTGCAAAGCTCGTTTGTTAGTAAACCATAATTGACTTCGTAAGTCGCGAGGGAAGGGATTGCTGTACCCTTCTCGCGATAAAAATACCTCAGGCATGAACCGCAGGAGGGGGGTCCAACCCCCCCCTCCTATGTGACCCCGGTTGGGTCGTCTAGCCAGTAGAAGTGGAGGATAGGGGCCAGAGGGGCAGACGGCAGAGTCCAATGATGGGAGAGAAACAAAAACAAAAAAAAAACCTGCTCGAAACTACTAGTCTACTGCTGTAGTAATTTCTCTCCGCATAGATAGCTGCTACTGCTGTACAGCAGTAGTAGAACTGTTCGTCACCCTTACATATACCGCGTCCCCATCCCTGTGAGCTGTTTGCGGCCTACGCCACTTATTTATCGGGTGAGACTGTTTTGGTGATGTA